CCTGTTGCCTAGTGTTTCTTGGTTCCTTGGTGATCTTACTGTGGCATCTGTATCCCATCCCCTCCTCCTTACCCCTCGTATGTGTTTGCTTCTGTGTCTGTCTGCTCTCTTCATATAACTCAGAAGTGATTAGGTTTAGGATATGGCACTAAACTGATAAGACCTCATTAATATAACAAAACCCTATTCTCAAATGGGATTATATCCATAGGTATAGGGGTTTAGATTTTAACGTGTATTTTGGAGGAACACAGTTCAATCCTTAACAATGGGAAAAACAATCCGAAGAGATTAATTTGCGAGATTATCTTTGAATTTTAGCACCCTTGGTCCCCAACAACACACCAAAGACTTCACTGGAGCAACTTCTTAATTGTCATTTTAGTCCATAAAAAAGGACTGTTACACTTCTGTATAATACTGATTGTATTCTGGTGTTACTAGTTTATCTTAAATTCAGAAGTGAAAACATTTGGAGATTGGCGATCTTAAGATGTAAAAGGAGTGAGGGACATAGGTTCTTCTATAAAACCTAGCTTTTTTCTTTAGTGTTGTACGGGCATTTATTTTGATAAATTTATGTGCTATTACCACCATGCGTCTGTCAGTTTGTCGTGCTGTGGTGGCTTGCGCGTTGCTGTGATGCTTGAAGGTACGCCACTGGTATTTCAGATATCAACAAGGGGTCACCTATGATGGACAGGTTTCAGTGGAGCTTCCAGACTTAGACACTAGAAAGAAGGACCTGGCGATCTACTTATAAAAACATTGGCCAGTGGAAACTTTATGAATAGCAGTGGAACATTGTCTGGTATAATGCTGGAAGATGAGCCCCTCCCTCAGGTTGGAAGACTCTCAGGATAACCACTGGAGAAGAGCTGAGCTACCTCCTCAAAGTAGAGTTAACTTCAATGACGTGGATAGAGTAAAGCCTTCGGGACTTTCATTTGCTGTTGTGGCACAAGTCAAAATGAGAAGAAACAGCTGCAAACATCCATTAATAATTGGAGGTTTGTATGTACAAAGTATGAATGTAGGAGAATTGGAAGTCGTCAGAAATGAAATGGAACACATAAAGACCAATATCCTAGGCATTAATGAGCTAAAATGGACTGGTATTGGTCATTTTGAATCAGACAGTCATAGGGTCTACTATGTCAGGGATGAAAATTTGAAGAGAAACGGCATCCCATTCATTCATCATCAAAAAGGAACATTTCAGTATATGTCCTGAAGTACAATGCTGTCAGTGATAGGATAATATCTACGTGCTTAGGATGACCAGTTAATGCGACAGTTATTCAAATTTGTGCACCAACCACTAATTCCCAAAAATGAAGAGATTGAAGATTTTTACTAACTTCTGCAGTCTGAAATTTTATCAGACATGCTATCCAGATACATTGTTAATAACTGGTGTTCGGAATGCAAAAGTTGGAAACAAAGAAGGATTGGTAGTTCGAAAATATGGCCGTGGTGATGGAAATGATGCAGAGATTGTATGATAGAATTTTGCAAGACCAACGACTTATTCATTGCAAATACGTTTTCTTCAACAACATAAACAGAGACTGTACGTGTGAACCTCACTGGATGGAAAACACAGAAATCAAATCAACTCCATCTGTGGAAAGAGATGATGGAGAAGCTCAGTATCATCAGTCAGAACAAGGCTGGGAGCAGATTTTGGAACAGACCATCAATTGCTCATATGTAAGTTCAAAGTGAAGATGAAGAAAATTAAAACAAGTCCATGAGAGCCAAAATATACCTCGAGTATATTCCAACTGAATTTCGAGACCATCTCAAGAATAGATTTGACACATTGAACACTAATGACCGAAGACCAGACCAGTTGTAGGATAACATCAAGGACATCATACATGAAGAAGGCAAAAGGTCATTGTCTTTAGGCTGGGTTCTCTAGAGAAGCAAAACCAGTAAAGCGTGTGTGTGTATGTGTATATATATGTATATATATATATATAAATATGTATGTATATATATATATAGAGAGAGAGAGAGAGAGAGAAACAGCGAAACAGCTCATGCAGTTGTAGAGGCTGTAAAGTCCCAAGTCCATGGGTCGGGAAAGAGGCTTCTCCTGATTCACGTAGCCACAGGGCCTGGCAAACCCCAGCTCGGCAGGCTGGGGAGCCAGGGCTGTTGCTCACAGGCTGTGAAGATCGATGAATCCCACAATTGGTAGGCAAGATGGCAAGGTAAGCTGCTGCTAGCTCAAATCCCAAGAACTGGAGGTCAGACGAATAGGAGCCAGCTGTAAGATCCAGAATGAGCAAAAGCACCAGAGCCCTACCTGAACGTCGGCCTGCGTGATATAGGCCACACACCCAAAGAAACTCTCCTTCAACCGACTGGCTACTCACGGCAGATCTCTTCATGGAGGTAATCATGTATCAGATCTCAACAGGGAAGTGATCAGGACGTTATCCGACTGCCAAAACACTGAGAATCATGGCCCAGCCAAGTTGACACACAATCTTATGCATTACAGTCATTAAAAAGACAGGAAAAAAAGAAAAGACCAAAATGGATGTCAGAAGAGACTCTGAAAGTTGCTCTTGAACGTATAGTAGCTACAGTGAACGGAAGAACTGATGAAGTAAAAGAACTGAACAGAAGATTTCAAAGGGTGGTTCGAGAATACAAAGTATAAAGTATTATAATGATATGTGTAAAGACCTGGAGTTAGAAAGCCAGAAAGGAAGAACATACTCAGCATTTATCAAGCTGAAAAAACTGAAGAAAAAATTCAAGTCTCGAGTTGCAATTTTGAAGGATTCTGTTTGAAGGACGCAAGAAGCATCAAAAGAAGATAGAAAGAATACACAGAGTCACTGTACCAAAAAAATTGATTGACATTCAGCCATTTCAGGATGTAGCATATGATCTAAAAATGATGGTACTGAAAGAATTCTAACCTTCACTGAAGGCATTGGCAAAAATCAAGGCACTAGGAATTGACGTAATGCTTTCTGAAAGTGAACAAAACTTGAAGCACTTACTGATGAAGGTCAAAGACACTACAGCTTTCAGTTTGGATTACACCTCAACATAACGAAAACAAAAATCCTCACTACTGGACCAGTAAGCAACATCATGATAAACGGAGCAAAGATTAAAGTTGTCAAGGATTTCATTTTACTTGGATCCACGATCAATGCCCATGGAAGCAGAAAAAGACCTCTTTAAGGTGTTAAAAAGGAAAGATATCACTTTGGATGACTAAGGTGCATCTGACCCAAGCTGTGTGATATTTTCAGTTGCCTCATATGCATATGAAAGCTGGAAAATGAATAAGGAAGTCTGAAGAAGAGTTGATGACTTTGAATTATGGCATTGGCAAAGATATTGAATATACCTTGGACTTCTGTAGAACAAACAAGTCTGTCTTGAGAGAAGTACAGCCAGCATGCTCCTTAGAATCGATGATGGTGAGACTTCATCTTACATTGGACATGTTATCAGAAGGGACCAGCCCCTGGAGAAGGACATCATGCTTGGGTAGGGTAGAGGATCAGCGAAAAACAGGAAGACCTTCGAGGAGATGGATTGACAGATAGTAGCTGCAACAATGGGATCAAACGTAGTGATGATTGTGAGGATGGCGCAGGGCTAGGCAGTGTTTTGTTCTGTTGTACATAGGGTGTCTGAGTCAGAACCGACTCAAAGACACCTGACAACAACAACATATGCTGTTAACCTAATCAGAACGTTGAAGTAAGTTCCAAATATACTCTGTGATTTTTGGGAATCGTGCCTTTCATTCACCTCCTATAAATATAAGAAAGTGACCTTACTTAAGGAAACATTATGCCCTGTTTTTACCACTTGTTGTCTCTGTGTTTTATTTCATTTATAAGTTCATCTGCTTAAATTTTATATTTCTAACAAACAGAACCCCCAAACCCATTGCCATTGAGTGGATTCAGACACATAGCGACCGTTAGGACAGAGGCTGTAAATCTTTATGGAAGGTGACTGCCCACATGTTTCTCCTGTGGAGCAGTTAGTGAATTTGAACTGCTAACCTTTTGGTTAGCAGCTGGGTGTTTTAACCAACGCACCACCAGGGCTCCTATTAAGTTAAATACATAACAAAATAGTTCTCAACAATGTTGGTAGTTTTCTTTTTTAAAATAAATTTTACTTGCTCACTTCAGTCCTTGATTCTTTTTTTCTTTTCTTCAAGAACTATTCAAATGTGATTTTTTTAAACATTTTGATTTGTTACGTTTGTTCAATGGCATCATCCCCCTGCTGGGGAATTTTGCTTGAAATCTGTTAAAAGGACACAGATGGCGTTTTATTTCCTGGGGGATATTTGGAAAATGAATTAACAATGGCGGTGGAGATGAATCAGTTTGTTTTATGCGCTCAGCATAGTTTCGTGACTTAGTCATTGCCTCCATTGTGCTGCTTCTGGGGGTGGGGGTGAAGATCAAGGCCTATGTTTCTGAGCTATCTTCTTACACCCACCAGGTTCTCCTGCGCTGCCCAACAGCATGGTATACTTTGGAAGCTCTCAGGAGGAGGAGGACGTTGAGGAGGAAGATGATGAGACGGAAGACATCAAAGCAGCCACCAACAATGCTTCATCTTCATGCCAGTCAACCCCCAGGAAAGGAAAAACCCACAAGCATGTTCACAATGGGCACGGTGAGTTCACTATTGAATTTGCTTTTTAAAATTTATTTTAATAGGATAAAATCCAAAGCTTTTGGTGAGATACCTGGAAGAGATCATCTTTTGACAAGACATGAAGTGATGAAGGCTGTATAGCTGATTGGTGGCAAAGCTAGTTCTGGATGCTTCTCTAAGAACCAGAGACTTTATGGGCAGAGAGATTAGTACAACACAGCACAATCAAGGGTATTCTAGAGGAATAGATAGTGGAGTGTGAATATTCTTACGTTGGTGCCTATGATAAGTTCTTAAGAACTGCAGACAAATCCCATCTAAATGGGAACACTTGTATTAGTTCCCTGGTGCTGGCATATCACATTACCACTCAGCTGGTGGCTTGAAACAACCTTCCGTCTCGGTTTTGACTTCAGCCAGAATTCTGAATTCATGGTGTCTGTAGGGCCATGCTCTCTCCAAAGGCTCTAGGGGGGAATTCTTTGCTTTGCTGGCTTGTGGCAGCATCATCACTTCAGTCTCTGCTTCCATCTTCACTGGGCCCCCTTCTCTTCTCTCTCTCTCTTTTTCTGTGCGTCTCTGTTAAGGACACTTGTCCTTGGATTTATCACCCATCCCAATAACTTCGCACAGTCTCCTTGTCTTTCCATGTGTCCTTTTGTCTCTTACAATGACACTCTCATCGGATATAGGGGCCACAGTAATCTCCTATGATTTTTATCTTGATCTTTACCTTAGTTATATCTACAAAGATCCTATTTCCATGTAAGGTCACAATCTTAGGCTCTTCATAGAAATGAGTTTTGGGAGGGACAGTATTAACCCACCATAGTGATCAGGAAGATTTTGTGAGGAAACTTTGGAGATTAATTTTTCATTGAGATTTCAGCAGGTAGAGATAGTGGAGAAAGACCTATTATTCATCATATGGAATCCAGAAGATGCACAGAGTTTATGAAGGAGACTGATTTTCCCTCTAGTATTACAGGACATAGGAGAAGTGGCCAGAAAGACAGGAATAACAGGTTTGAGTATCAGTTAGAGGAGGCTCCTTTTAAATAACTTGGCTGCAGAAAGTGCCCAGTGGTTTTCAACAGGCGGGAGACTTAATTGGAGTTGTGCTCTGGAAAGATTAGGCTGGCAGTGATTACAAGGATTTTCTAAAGAGATATGATTTGAAGAAAATGAAACAAATTAGAAGGCTGTAACTGTAGGCAGTTACCTGGCCCAAAGGTAACAAGGACTAAAAATTGGTTCTTGGCAGTATAAATAGGATATAATAGAAATGTAAAAAGGCAAGTGAGCTATGGAGAGATTAGAGACCGTACTGAGAGGACATGTTGGAGTAGCATAGGGTAGGCAAAGCAAGGAAGACAAGAGAAAAGGAGAGTGAAGCAAAGAGAATGGGGTGTTGGGAGCAACTATGGCTGCTATTTGTTGAGCTGCACCTCATGTCATTTAGGACTCACAGAGGCCTTATTAAGTAGAGTCCCAGTTTACAAATGACACAGAATCCATGCTGTGTATCACTGATGGGGAGGCAAAGAAGATTTCTCATTTTCTCTCAAGGCCTTTGCACTGAGCTACCACTTGTCTTTCTGGAGTCTTGAAAATAGAAGTTTGGGGGCAAGTTGTCGTAACAGAGCTTAGAAGAGATGGAAGTCTATGTCTAGCTTTCGTCATTGGCCATTTCTGCCTTGTCAGTTTAATGATGGTTCATCTAACCCACCTCTTGTTTAGGTCTGTGTTTAGGTGGCATATAAATTTAGTAGAAGACGTGACCCCTTATTAGCGCTTAAACCGTTTAGTTGGGGAGATGGGTCCAGCGTTACCAGTGTTTAATTCAAAATGGTAACTAAATTTTAGCTCAAGTTTTCAGGAAAAAGGATTTTACATGGAGCTGTCGTCGGTAGCAAACCTTGATAGCTGAAATAGGGCTGCCTGTCTAAGTTGGAACAGGTACAGGTGTAGAGCTAAACTTTCTAGGGAGGAACGGCATGAAATATGGAATGTGTAATACTGTGTGGTGGTGGGATGGTAGAGAAGTTGTCCCGTCAGTGTGGAAGGACGTACTTTGGGGTGATTTGAAAGGGAAGGATAGCGTTAATAACAGAGCCCTGCTGGGCAGGAAGAAGAATCCAAATATTAATTTGTAGTGAATAGAGAACTTCCGCTGATTTTAAATGTGGAAATTAGATGAAGTAGATCAAGTTCAGAAAGATTCCTCTGGGTAGCCAAGTTTAGTCTGAAATGAAAGGGAAAAGGGATATGGTATAGATGTGTGCAAGAAGCATTTTGAAGTTAAACATGATGAGGTTTTCACAGCTGACTGGATAGGCAGACTTGAAAGTAGTAGAATAGAAATGAGGAAGGGAGTTAAGGGGGAGGAGAAGTTAAGAACAGTGTTATCTGTTGAGGTGATGGTAAAGAAAACAGAAGCCCATAGACCGGGGGCTTATCATGGAGTTTCTGGTTGAACCTGTCAGAAAGAATGAGCTTTCTGGGAGAGAATGTCAAAGAATGAGACTTGTGGGAATCTTTTTTTTTCTTTTTTTATCACTGAGATGTCTTGTTTTTTGTTTAATAGAGAATCAAGAGGAAATAAATATGGACAAAACGTGAAATTAGCTTTAATTTTATATCTGTTAGTCACTGTGTGTCCAGTGATAGAAATGTGTTTTCATTAGTATAAGATCAGAATGATTCCTGAAAATATGTCTATATTTTTTCATCCTCTTATTATAACCAGGCAGGTGAATTCCTCTGTCATGTTGAATGGCTAAATTAATCCCGTGTGTACTTCTTGGGTTTGTGGTTGTGTCTCCAACTCCGTTCTTTTTCTGGCTTGGTGGAGACTTGTGGTTCACCAGGCAATTTTCTCATAGATCCAACTTCTAATGTCAGAATTTATCATGTTTCATGGGCATGGATCTTATTATTTTAAATTTTCTTTTTACATGAGCTGCAGGGTGATTACGAGAAGGGGAGTGGATATCTGGCAGCAGTTCTGTGAAGGGGGTGGGGTGAGGCTGAAGGAATTGGCCACATTCTTTTCATCTTAGGAAAGAGGATAATGGTTGTGCATTGATCATTGTCATTACAATGAAGAAAAAGTGTTTCCTGGTCTGTCCGTATGTTTATAGATCTGCACATACATGTGTACACACAGAGAAACTTCTAGGTTTTCAAGATGTTAGGAGATTTTACTATTTCCAACAGTTAATGTTTGCATAAAAACAATATTGGGGTTACAAAGGGTTTTCAATTTTTGCTTTGGGGATTTGTTTCCTGTTCCAAACATTTTCAGCGGTTCTTTTGGATTTGTTTTCTGTACTAATGCATTTTCTGTCTTTTGGTCGAGGTCTGTGTAGGATAGTGCGTGTCCCGGACTCTAGTGTCGGAGGGCTCCGTGGGAGTTGGGGGAGGGCGAGTGTCTCAGGTTAGGCTTTCCCACATGTCCCCTCTTACTGCCTTTTCTGCGTTTGTGCTCCAGCCCTTCTCCTTCCCTTCCTCCTCCCTTCTCTCTGACTCAGCTGTCTTGTCATCTTCCACGCTGGAGACATAGGTTACGCTGGAGGAGTAGTAGAGAGGAAACCAAAGTGCACACAGGCCGTCCCCGGGTTACCAACGAGTTTCATTCCTGAGTCTGTTGGTGTAAAAATGGCATGGAGGCGGTGTCTGACCTCCTCGAACTTCATGAGAGGAAAGCAGAACTAAGATCAGCAGCCCAAGGCTAACTCCCATGAGGCAGAGGCCAGACAAGCCTCCTCTCTCCGCCATCTTTACTAATTCTGACACCAACCGTCCCTCCCACAGCACTCTCTACTTCTCTGCTGGGTTCCATAATTCATTGCAGTGGCCACACAGCACTCACAGACAACACTAACGGTTATGGGATTTATTAGAGAAGTAGCAATTACAGTTCAGGCTCAGGAACACTCAGGATACAGTTCTTCCATCAGGACAGCCTCTTCCCAGCTGTGCTTGCAGGCACACCTCTCCCTGGCCCTCAGCCTCTGCCCAGAGGCACTCAGCATTCTCTGTCCTTAGGCCGGGAAGCCCACCACGCCATCTCTTGCTGTCGGGTCCCTCCTTCCTTAGTGGCGGTGGGCTCCTCCTCTCTGCTCTGGAATTGGCTCTCTTTTAAGGCAAAACTGACCAGTCCCCTTGGTAGGCCACAATTACCCTATCACACTATCACCTGTGTGGGACTTATAAGGCAATGGCTAGAAAGGCCACACACAAAAGTAATTAATTGCACCGCAGTCGGATTTGTAGGTAAGTTAGGTACAGTTCGTATCTAACCGCAGTCAAATGTTTGTCTTAGTATATGGTATATAGTGTACTTTTCTATGCATAAAAATCATTAAACACTTAAGATACCCTAAAACATCTTTAACATAATAATACGGTAATAATAACGTTTTGATGTGTGTTTTTTCGAACCATCGTGTACCTTGGATTTTTAATATAATAGGGTTTGCAGGGGTTGGTTCGTAACTGCGGGTTGTATGCAAGTCGGACATCCCTAACCGTGGACTTCCTGTTCTTATGAACACTTCTGTGCTTTCTTTAATGAGACATTTTGAAACCAAAGTTGCAAACCCCTTTTGAAGTCCTTGTCTGCTAATTCTAATAACTGAGTAACCTGAGGGTCTGCTTCTAATGATCTTGTTTTCTTGATGGTCGGTCACATTTATGTCTTCTAATTTTTAATTGTATTCCAGATACTGTGTGTGAAAGGGTGCTGTAGTAGAATTTATCTCCGAGGAGTGAAGCCCTTTTCTTCTTTCTGGCAGTTCAGATGAAGGGCTGCCCACTCAGATTCTCCTGGAGTCCAGTGGGGCTGTGGCTCACAGCTGTAGTTAGACTGAGTTCATCTGTGAGTAGCCCAGCCTCCAGACCTCTGCCTTTTTGCTGGTGTTGGTGTTCGAGCTGGAAGGGGATTGGCTGCATTTTTGGGTATTTTGGTTTGCCTTTGGATTCAGCTCCAGCAGAGCCCTGGAAATCATCATGGT